AATAATATTTTATCTCATATGAGAAAATTACTTTTGATGATTACATTAAAAGTTACCATGTAAAATACAAACGAGATTACAGGAGGATATTTCCCTTTACTCTTTTGCCTGTGGATATACATTTTTAAATAGAAGAGAACACACTGCACTGCAATTTTGGATATCCAGTGTCTTCAATATTTCACCATTATACTACAGTGCACGTATCTTGTTATTACTGAAGTAAGGAATTAGTGTTTTAAATCTTCTTGATACATATAGCAAACTCTTTTCTACGAAAGTTGGACTAATACTCCAACCACTCAAACAGAATCCTTACAATAACAGATACCATCACTTAACTTTTCCCAATGAGACTGAGGTGGGGGAAAGTGGATGGAGTTGTTTATGTTAATTTACATATCTCTAGTTAGTAGTGAAGTTGAACATTTAAAATGTTTGTTTTAATTCTCTTATTTTCATTGCCCAGCTGCATCATTTACCTACTTTTCAAGTTGTCTTAAAAAATTTCTCACTGATTTTTATGAGTTTGATATACTAAGAATATCTGCCCTTCCTTTGTCATTTGTAGCAAGAATATTTTCCATTTATTTGCTGTTTAATTTTTAATATGCCTGACAATTAAAATTTTAATTTAATTTAAAGTTTTAAAGAGAAATAGCAATCCAATTTTTCCAATAGCATTTCCTGGGTAATCTGCCCATTCTCCATTAGTCTAGGATACTTTCTGATCACATTACATTCTTTTTTTTATTTTTTATTTTTTGCGGTACGCGGGCCTCTCACTGTTGTGGCCTCTCCCGTTGCGGAGCACAGGCTCCGGACGCGCAGGCTCAGTGGCCATGGCTCACAGGCCCAGCCGCTCCGCGGCATGTGGGATCTTCCCAGACTGGGGCACGATCCCGTGTCCCCTGCATCGGCAGGCGGACTCTTAACCACTGCACCACCAGGGAAGCCCACAATACATTCTTTTATATATAAAGGTCTGTTTCTGGGCTCTCTTTTCTATTCCACTGATCTGGAGGTATATTCTTGGGTCAGTACTATGCTGTTTGAATTCTTATATCTTTATAACAGGTTGTGATATTTAGTAGGATTAATCGTTTCTCATTGTTTTTCCTTTCCAAAGTTATTTTGGCTATTCTTATATATTTATAATCCAAATGTATGTTAAAATTAGAATCATTTTGTCAAGCCCCACCTCTCCATATGAATTTTAAGGGAACATTAATTAAACCTATAAATTCAATTAATGGTGCTTTTTAAAAGATTATTTCACGAATAGTTTCAGTTCTTTTGAATTTACCCTTTGGAATAATCAGATGCCATTTATGAACTGGACAAGTAGTGTAAATATTTAACTACATAAATCCTGTAAACCTAATACATAAACTACAATGTATATCTCCAAGAAGTAAAAGGACAATAATCATCTCTGGATTAAAATTCTTCCCATAATTGAATGGACTAATTATAAATAAAGTTTTCTTTTTATCCTTTTATATAAAACCATGCCAATTTTCAAGGTAATACATCCATGTCAGACATTATAGTGAATCCCAAGTGACTTTGAATCCTTTTTTTTATAGCAATATGGCACACATTTTCATGAAATTTTTGTAAATCCTAAGATTCTGAATACTATTCCTGATGGAGCAAGGGAATTGTTTCTCCAAACTTTTTCTGAAAAAGTATTGCCTTTTTGATAAACATAAACATTTGTATGTTTTCCAGTTGAGAATCACTGATAAACACTTTTAAAAAACACTATGTATTGTCTGTGATTACATGTCTAGTTCTAAAATGACATCTGAAATTTATACTGTTCCTAAAAATTTGAATTCTAACAGACTTGTATATATATTTCAATAATTAGTGTTTAGAATATGAAATTCTGAAAGTGTTTTATTTCTCTTTTAGTAAATTATTGTAGTATATATATTAAATCAAGAAGTTTATACCTCTGCTTGATTTCTTGTGAAGTTACTCCTTGAAGAACTGACCAGTGGTTTAAAAGAAAATCAATTTTAATGCATTAAGACTTTTATCCTAAATTTTAGATACAAGAGATTTTTTGCAACCACAATAGGGCGATCAATTAAACAAAGAGTTTTTAAGATTCAGTGCTTACTTTCTGTTGTTGATGTTGTTATAATTATTTGATAGAGATGAAGGAGAGATCTTTGGTAAAGTTGAAAAATTGGATGCACCTGGGGACCTTTAAAAATATGAAAATGTTAAATTAGATAAAAAATGCTGAATTTTGAAATTAATTATGAAATAAAGAAAAGAACTACAGATGACAATGTATGTAGTAAATGAATGCTGGAAAACAGATTTATGAGCAAAATCACCATATACCCTTTGGTTTCCAATTTCCAATGTATTTGTTCATATAAAAAATAATAGTATATAAGGGAACTATTTTCAAAGGAAATTTATCAAATTAAATATAAAACTTGATATTATTTTTATAAATCTACTAATGAAATACACCCAGTTCTGAGTTCAGGTAACCATTATTAATATTTTACAATCAATAATTTCCTTAAATCAATGGAATTAAAATATTAATTTTTAAAGGAAGCATGTAAAAGAAATCCACTCTGTGTCTCAGTAGGTACTATGGCATTCCAATTATATACAACACAGACACAGATATCATAGATTTTACCAATTTTTAAAACTGTAAGTCAAGAGGGATGAAATAGCAAAGAGAATTCCAAACATAATCCTGAGAAGTAATTTTTGGCCAAGGTTATCCCTGCAAAAACTGAACAGATATAAATCTCACTATCTATTACACACCTCACTAATTCAGAATGTTTTTGGAGAAATCTAAATTACTAATGGCTTTTAATCAACAAATATGCTTTATAGGCATGACTTATAGTAAACAAATCCATTATATAGGAATGATTATTTTAAAGTAGTACTTAAAAGTCTCTAAAAGATTTAATTTCCCTTGTAATTTTATATACAATTTTAATTTACTAGGCAACATCTAGGCCACGGGCTGTAAGAGGCTAATACTTTCAGTCCAGTATCTCAGTCATCATAAATTCTAAATTAGTGAGGCCCAAAGTGATTACTGTTTAAAAATTATTTTATTTCCTCTACTCAGGTGCTAATGAATAGCAAAATGGTCATGGGTCAGGAAAGTGTAATCTACAAAATTTGCTTTTAGGTAATTTGGATTTTGCTAAATTAACTGGTGGGTAATAAAATTTCTTACATATAAAATTTTATTTAACTTTTGAAGTTTTATATATTATGAAATATTGGTAAAAGTTTTTTCTTCATTTTAAAGGAGAGTTTTTTTGTTGTTGTTGATGCAAGTTATATACAGGTAGATTACATTAAGTGGGACTTCTATTTAGCTGCCTTTCTGATGGAAGACACTTACAAGATTTTATTTAACTGTACTCAGCTCAAATCCAAAAATACAAGCAACCAAGTTTTAATATAAAACAATGTCGAAAACAAATTTAAAAGGTAATTTTAATATACTAATATTTTAAGGTACTAATTTTAAGATATTAATAGAATTAATATTAATATAGAAGTATTCTGGCATTTTCTGCCTTCACGTTAAGAATGATAACTTAGGAAAACAATCTAAAAACACCAAGACTGACATAATCAATTAAGGAGGTTAATTTTTCAAAATGTATCCAACTACTATTTAATTCAATTCACTACAACTTTTCAGGTATACAGATAGAAACTGAAATATTCCCTTGAATTTTACTTATAGTAAAAATTATGAAAATAAAGATTTTATTTATAATATGTATTATATTTATTACATATTATATATGGCTGAGGCATATATATATATTTTTTTCCCTTTTTCTGCCCATCTGTGGCCTTTTTACTATTCATTAGCAACTCTATCCCAGAACAGTATTAGAAGTTTCTATGAAATTCATTAAAACACTCAAACATTTATTAAATGATTACATTATGCCTTGCCCTTGTTAAGTACTAGGAATACAAAGAGAGAGACAGTTCCTGATCTCAGATAGCTCATACTCTTAATAGGGGAAAATGATACAAGCAAAATAACTATAAAACAGTATAAGTCCTAAAACAAATTTTAAAATGATAACAAAAAGGGCTTCCCTGGTGGCGCAGTGGTTGAGAGTCCGCCTGCCGATGCAGGGGACACGGGTTCGTGCACCAGTCCTGGAAGACATCACATGCCGCCGAGCGGCTAGGCCCGTGAGCCATGGCCGCTGAGCCTGCGCGTCCGGAGCCTGTGCTCCGCAACGGGAGAGCCCACAACAGTGAGAGGCCCGCGTACCGCAAAAAAAAAAAAAAAAAATTATCACAAAAAGTCAAATTTTGTGGGTAATAACATGAAGTGATTTTAAAACGATGTACACAGTTGGAGGGGTAGTTGGAAACTGGAAAGTGAGAATACTCCAGGTGGAAAGAATAGCATGTGAAAATGTGTGGGACTATAGAAAGCATGATTTGTTTAGGGAATTACCAATGAATTGGCTGAAAGAGTAGGGTGTAGTGATAGGCACAGAAGTTAGTAAGGTAAGTATGATAAAGAAAAACCTTTTTATGTCCTCTGAAGGAATTTGGATTTTATCCAATTGTGCTATGGCATGTTGAAAGATTTTAAGAGTATCAACGTAATCAGATTTGTATTAGAATATACAAAGGTAACTCTTGAGGAAGAGAAAGAGACTGAAGATTGGAAGAGCATTTAGGAGACTATAAAAACAACAAAGGTGAGAAGTAATAAAGGCTGGGACTAAGACAGTGGAGTGGGCAAGGGCAACATGTCTTGGAGGTTTAGGAAGCAGTTCTCAAAGTACAGTCCACAGACACTGAGGGGGATACAAGATCCTTTCAGGGTAGCTGTCCATGATCAAAACTATTTTCATAAAAACACAAACGTGTTATTTATTATCTGACCTCCTTCACTATACAAAAACAATGGCAGGTAAAACTGCATAGTGTCGAGGCGGTAGCCGAGAAAAACTGTGGTATCATGGATTCAAAATAAGAGAATTTCTTTAGGAGATAGTTATCAAAAAGAAGTATTAAAGAGAGGTCAAATAAACTAGGTTTAAAAAAAGTTAAATAAGGACTTCGTTAAATTCTGAATATGTGGTAAGGAATGGTAAGCACTGCCTTTTTAAAGAAGTTGGCTATTAGAAGAAAAACTAAGTAGTATTCAGAGGAAGCTGATGGTCTTGTTTTAAAAGATGGGAGAGATCTGTTTATATCTATAGGTTAGCAAGGAAGATGATACTGGAAAAGAAACAAAAGCACAAACTAATGTTAACTGAGTGTCTACTATACGTGTGGCAGTATGCTAGGCATTTATATGTATAGGAGAGAGGAGATAACGAAGGAAGAACGAGGTCTAGGAAACATTGAGATAAATACTATTGGTAGAGAGATTGTTCTTAAAGAGCATGGAGATCAGAGAGAGCAGGATGGATGTCGTGATCCACAGCTAAATAAAAGTATAACACTTTTTACCTCCTGTTACAGACATTATGGTTAACAGTTAGATCACTTATCTATTGTGATTCCAACTTCTGACCGAGATTACACATAGCCCAACCTAGCTAACATTTGTGGAGTTAGTGTAGGGGTTGACTAGTCAATCTGTGGATTATAACCTGAGTTCTTTAACTCTCTTTCTTTGATATAACTTGGAAATTACACTGTTTATTAGCAACTTCGCACTAGTAGCTTTCTGAAGAGACGAGTGAAGAAAATGCTTAGAATATTATACATAAACTAGATATTAAGCCATTTATCTAGTGTTAAAGTAATTTTGGCTAGTTTGGGCTAAGTGTAATATAAGGCAGTGAATCGTCTCTTAACAAGACAGAAGGTAAAACATGAGTTTAGCTGAAATGATTTCATGAAGAGAGAAAATTAAACTTCATCCCTGACAACTGAATGCAGTATTTTAATTTCCCTATTCCCAATGTTTCAACTAAAAGCCTGCAATTCAAGGCTAAGCTGAACTTCTTACTTGAACAGAAAAATACAGCTTATTCTTTGTAAGTTACCTACATAGTCAACATACATGGAAATCTAATACCATACTGAGCAATCAAAATATAGAGAAATTAAGTCTGAAGGCTGACATAGCAAAAATAGTTATTTAAAACTTTTTATAGTTATTTTCAAAGCTGATATAAAACAACCCGAATTTGTAAATTTTGACATTATAAAACAAAAACTATCCTATTAAGAAAAACAAGACCAACCTTAAACTTGCCCCATTTCTAACAATCATCCTAGGATAAGTTCTTAGAGAAAAAGAGAAATCTAAATCTCTTGAAAAATTAAGCACTTTTACTCTTGTGAGATACAGATTAGTTCAGTTCAACAAGCATTTGCTATGTGTCTCCTCTGTGTCAGGCAGGGTGCTAAATACTTAAACAAAAGACAATTTAAGGAAATTTATATGTAAAGTGTTTCTCATAACCTGATTTTTGTTTCTCATTTTGACTGCTCTATATGGTATTTGACAAAATATTCAACTTAAAAAAATAAAATTACAGTTACTTTTCTTTAGCCATTATCAATCTCAACACCAAAACTGCAACCCATTTTTATTTCTGCTGTTATTACAGATATCTCCAAACATACACAAGTCCTCATGTACCCAATATTAGTCATTCAGCTTCAAAAATTAACATTCTACCACTCTTGGTTTATTTATAATCTCCTTGGCCTCCACATTCCTTCATGTTTTTGCTGGACAATTTTAAAGCAAATCCCAGACATTTATAATTTCACCTGTAAACACTACAGTATGCATCCCTAGCAGGTAAGAAATCTTTTTTGATACTACTGTCTGTCCCAATCTAATAGTCAGTTCATGTTCACATTTTTTCCCCAGTTGTCTCAAAAACTGGGTAGTTTGAATCAGGATCCAAAATAAGTTCATATATATGCAGATTAATTTTAGTAACTTCAAAAGCCCTTACTACTCCCTACTAGCTAACTTCTCCGGTTTCATCTTACTATGACAATTGTTTATTTTACATTTGTCCTGACTTTTGTATCTATTCATATAGTTAACTTTGACTTACATATGTTACAGTAAATTGCTCAAATCTTTTTTAGAACAAACCAGGGGAGAAAGAAAGAAATAAAATAACCAATAATTATTTGTGAGTACCTCTGAATCAAGCATCTATATGAGAACTGAATACTTAAGTTACATTCATTTACGCATGAAATATACTATGTAAATGTCTTAATTTCAATTAAATTTGGATATGGCTTTTAAATATTGAAGCTAACACTAACTAAGAAGCTTGACTGTGACCACGCTCTCTTTGGTAAAACTTGGAGACATAGTACTAGGTTATACATTATCTTACCACAACAGAAAGTAGGTAACAGTGTTTACATGAAGGAAAGATTTAATTAATCAATGTGCATTTTCAGCATTTCAAAGGAAAATCTGCATACACACTCAAGATCTTAATGAATATTAAACTGAGGAACCTCAAAGTACAGAGTTATGCGAAGTGTGTGTTTATGTACAAGCACAAGCTTTTCCAAAAAAGATTTGGAGTTTGGACCACCAAAATAAGATAACCAGAAAAAAACAGTTTATCAGTAAATAACAGTACACAAGAACTTCATTCTACCATTATGCTGCCTTCATCGTTAGGTGACAAACGCCCAGGAAAGGATGTGTATATTTAAATAACAAACAGATTTATATACAGTTTCTTTTTCTCTCCAGGAACCCTGCCTTTCCAACCAAGTACACCTTAGTTATCTTTCTTCTTTCAGTACATTACATGATGAATGATCTATACCAGGTGTTCCATTTCCTGACTAGATATTCATCCCCTCTTTTCCTACTATTTGTCATTCTCATCATGCTGACCCCATTTGTCAAATACACCGAATCTCTTCTGTCTCCCCCCCAATTTCTGCATCATTTAGCACTGCTTACCATTCCCTTTCTTCTAGAAGCTCTTTTTTCCTTTGGCCTCTATGACAAAACAGAATCCAAGTTTTCCTTAATCTACACGATTATCTATTTGATCTTTGTTTTATATCATTACTTAGGGATACCCTTTAAGGTTTAGTATACAGTTCTTTACATTTTTAATTAGATAATTCACATACGCCTAATATTTCTCACTTCTAGGAATATAACTCCATACCTGCAGTTCTCATTACTCTCCAAGCTTTGGCTCCCTTTATTTAATTTCATCCTAGGCAGTTCTGTTTGGCTGTTCCATTACCTCAAACTTTAGAGTCTCAGAAAAAGTCATTCTATGACTTTTTCTTTAAAAAAATTTTTTTTGGAGTATAGTTGATTTACAATGTTGTGTTCTATGTCTTTTTCTTTTTTTTTTTTTTTTGCGGTACGCGGGCCTCTCACTGTTGTGGCCTCTCCCGTTGCGGAGCACAGGCTCCGGACGCGCAGGCTCAGCGGCCATGGCTCACGGGCCCAGCTGCTCCGCAGCATGTGGGATCTTCCCGGACCGGGGCATGAACCCGTGTCCCCTGCATCGGCAGGCGGACTCTCAACCACTGCACCACCGTGGAAGCCCTATGTCTTTTTCTTAATGAGACCAATAATAAGATAAAATGAGATGAAGTATGAAAGAAAATTTATAAAGACTCAAAATGTCTTTAAAAATGACAAGAGGGCTTCCCCGGTGGTGCAGTGGTTGAGAGTCCGCCTGCCGATGCAGGGCACACGGGTTTGTGTCGCGGTCCGGGAAGATCCCACATGCCGCGGGGCGGCTGGGCCCATGAGCCATGGCCACTGAGCCTGTGCGTCCGGAGCCTGTGCTCCGCAACGGGAGAGGCCACAACAGTGAGAGG